CAGCAGCCCGGCGTCACCTGCAATAACGCGGCCGCGCGTTGGCTCCTGATTGGCGCGCGCACGCATCACGCAATCAGGAGCCAATCAGGCGCATAACGCATTTCGTGTGACATGCTAGTACGATTTTGATTGGCGCGCGCACGCATCACGCAATCAGGAGCCAATCAGGCGCATAACGCATTTCGTGTGACATGCTAGTACGATTTTGGTCCCCATAATTTTCATACCCCGGGCCTATATATGTAAATCGATTCTAAAGGAGTAAACTCCAAAAAACAATCAATACTGTTACGCCGGTAAGAGTAATGCCATCTATCACCGAATAGTCGAACGAATATCGAAGGATCTAGAAGCACCTAGAACGCTCGCGAAGTACAACGCCATCTAGTATCAGATAGCGGAAACACAAAACTCGAAATGTGTGGAATATTCTCGATAATTCTAGGCTATAAAAGCGTTGTAGAGATGGCACGCCGTCAGTTAGTAATCGGAACTACTCGAAACGAAACAGCGAACGGATCACCTGTAGCGAAGCGGAATAAGCGAATTGAGAATTTTAAAGTGTTTGTGAAGTGTTTTGACTGTTCTAAGTGTTGAATACAGTTTTTAGTTGTACTTCGGTAGAATTTTATTTATCCCGACCCCAGCGCGTAACAATACGAATACATTTCAATAAACCAAACTATGGATAAGTTTTGATTTAACGTAACAACATTCGTGAGGTGAAGGTAATGAACGACTTCATTCGACATCGACTGTGGATATTTACCGCAAACATCGCGGCATCGTCATTGCGAAAGACGTTTTGCGTTAACGTTTGCCTTTCGCTATTTTGCGATTGCATTGTTATCGTTATCTAAACTGTCACCCTAAGATGGTGATATCGTGCGCCCAACGACACATCACATCACAAGTAATATTATGTAACTTTATAAAGTATACAGGTTTAATTTTACACGTAATCCTCCTATACATACATACAAAGTCCCGTCCTGTGCGAAACCGTGTTATATATTACTAGCCGTACTCGCCCGCTTCGCTGAGCATTTAAAATTAACATTATTATTTATTGTCATTATTATTAGGGAGTCCAACACTCATATACATATTAGCCTATCCATGAAGTACCTACATGTATTTTCTACATGGATACCATGTTTCAAGTCAATCAAATGCATGGTTCAGTAGTTATAATGGAACATCCGTAAAAACCACTGTAAATTTATATATTAGTATATATAAGACTAGAAGGCAGTACAAAAAGGAGAGTATTTTTTCTGAATGAAACATCTCAACTATGCCTGTATGTATGTATTTGTTTACCTATTATACATAAAAAATAAGCAGTAGATTTTCGGTTATTCCTATATATTGTGTATCCATAGTGCATAAGGGAATTTTCTAAATAATTTTAAACAAAAGTGGGGCTCACAAAAACTGGTGACTATCTTAATATTCAACAACGGGATCGTTATGTGATTTCAAGATTTCCGGTCGTCTTATTTATACTATCGACGGTGAAAAAAGCTTTGTCCTTTTTTCCAAATCACTAAGCTACCACACTGAGTAGACCAGTAAGTAAAGGTCTTATATACCGCCCCCTTATTCTTCGTGTGAACCATAAAGGCGATTAACGAACTTACCGAAGAATGGGCAGCGTTTTCTGAGTATCACACCGGCGTACTAGATAGCAAACCGGCATTTACCGGAAGTATCGTCAGGCATAGGCAGATACTACAATACCTACTCTTGTTTTTTTTTTCCAACCTATGCTGATAGCCTTGAGAGGCTATTTCAGCTTCACCCTAACGTGTGTAGGTGAGCTCACGGGGCTCATACCGGAGTCTTGCTAACACTGACCCTAGCAAGAGTAGTGCTTCGCAGAATCTACCACTAGATCGGAAACGCGACCCACTGAGAAGATCCGGCGAGAAACTCAATGGGCTGTGTCTATGGGTTAATTCGCTCGTCGAGCCCTTCGTCGCAAGCGACGGGTTCGACGAGGACGGTGACCGATGCTTGTGGTGCCTAAAAGCAACGTAAATGGATCGTGAGGATTGGTAACGACGTGCTTTGGGCGACGTCGACGGTTTACCATTCGGTCTACAGGACGGGTATGTAGTTTCCAGCGGCCACGACAAGAGGGTTCTCATGACGTGCCTCTTTCTCGAAGTGCTACTCTTGTTATTGTCGACGGTCGTGGCTACGACACTCTTCGATACGACTTCTCCGAGTCCACAATCATCCCTCTCCGCACCGACTATTACTACTGGGGGCCGAAGAAGTGATTTTACTGGGCTCCGGGCCTTGTAGGAGGCGGCCTACCCACCGATGGAGATTACGGAACAACTTGAGGGGGCTAGTTATGTCTATGCTCTTCTAGGATAAGTCGCACAAAATTAAGAAAAAGGTTATTAGTCAAGAGGAGCCTCAAATAATATATTTCTCGTTAACTGCATCGCCACACCTTTCTATTGGTGTAAAGCTAACATAAATAAATACTTGGGCAAAATCGACTGAATATAAATAACGTTAGTAAAATAATAAAATACATTTCTAAACACTGAATTCTCGAAACAATAACTTAAACTAAAATAGAATGTTAAACGAATTGCTTCGTAGCTAATCTCCAATAACAAATGTATTGGCAATTATTTCGTGTTCATATATGGCTAACGTAGTACAATGTGCTTAAAATGAAATATTATAAATTTCTGTTTAGTTTTTCTATACTTCAAACAAATTCGGAATAAATAATCTTTTCTACCTTACAGTTTCTGTGATCATCGGCGTCTCTAGGCGAATTAAGCATGAGATTACAACCATAAATCGTATTCACCCGCTTATCTTAATTAAAATTTTCAATTTTGTTGTTTTCATTGCTTAGATGAGTGGATGAGCTCAGAGCCCACCTGGTGTGAAGTGTTTACTGGAGCCCATAGACATCTACAACGTAAATACTGCTACACAACTTGAGACATGAGTTCTAAAGTCTCACTACAGTCCCACGGCTGCCCCGCTCTTCAACACGAAACGCATTGCTGCTTTACGGCAGAAATAGGCAGGGTGGTGGTACCTACCCGTGCGGACTCACAAGATGGTGGTGAGTGGTTACCGTTGCTCATGGACGTCAGCATTGCCAGGGGCAGAGCCAAGCCGCTGCCTTACATTACGTGGGTCTTTTCCTGATCTACATAAGCACGTAAATTCACGTTGAGGTTCAACACCGATTGGCAGTGAGCTCGTCTCTCGAATAACAATTTTCTCCGTGCCTATTTACAACGTAGCATTCGTAACGCGGCTTGTCTCGAAGTCACAATATCAATAAATACGGTCTCCCTCCGAGTATTGGCGGAGTGCATTAGCTGAACGTGACCGGGAACGAGTCGTGTTCCAGCCTCATGAAACGCGTCTAGACATTCAGTTTTCAATACGATTTTGTATAAATCGCATTACGAACGTGACGTGAATCAGCGCATTCGGAAGTGCTATTCAACACAGAGTATATTTTATTTATTCATTGCATAGATGGGTGGACGAGCTCACAGCTCACCTGGTGTGGCTACCAGAGCCCACAGACATCTACAACGTAAATGCGCCATCCACCTTGGGATATAAGTTCTAAGTTCTCAATATGGTTACAACGGCTGCCCCACCCTTCAAATCGAAACGCATTACTGCTTCACGGCAAAAATAGGCAGGGTGGTGGTACCTACCCGTACGGACTCACAAGGGGTCCTACCACCAGTAATTGCGCAAACTATAATTTTGCGCGTTTTTTTCAAGTAAGACTGTATTATGCTTCAATATTTTACATAAGAATCAGAGAATCCTACGCATAGCACGCGACGATCAAATTACCTACTATTACTAAATTCTCTTAATTCATCCGCAGTAGCTACATCCTTTCCTCGTTTAACGACTCCCTTTGAAATTGGTTTTGACCCCTTGCTCCTAATTTCGCCCTAATTTTCGTGTCGCTGGGGGCAGAAAAATTCCGTACCACACATGCACGCCACAATCTTACATATTTTTGCAAAGAATTTTTCGTGTGTTCGATGTGCTTAGTGCGAGTTTTTTTAACGTTCTCGATAGCGTAAAAGTAAACCCAAATTGTATGGAGTTAGACCAGCGCCCCTAGCGGCAAATATAGGTAAACCCTCGAACTCCATACAAATTTGAGTTAACTTTTACGCTATCGAGAACGATAAAAAAACTCGCACTATGCACTCAAATATAAAGCAGTCGTATTACCATATCAATAAGACTCGCTTCGTGACGATAATGTCTCGATATTCACGTCACAGTTGAATAGTTCTGCTTAAGTTAAAATATATTATTATATACGAGTATACTATCGTGCTATTTTATAAATAGTTACAACATATTCAAAAGTTTTCTAACTATAATTTCCGCGCTAATAACGATTTAATGCACAGAGGGCGCTGTGAGCGACGGCCGGATATTGCGATCGGTTGCACTTCCGGCCGCCGGAGGCTTAACTTTGTAACGGTATTGTAGCTTTATTATTCACAAACGGAAAGACTTAAAGGATTAATTGTAATGTCACATTTAAAAGCTGAAGAGCTGAAGTTTGGCCTTTCCACTATAAAACAGTCAACGCCGAATGTAGGGCGGTGGTTAATTTGCCAAACCCAAGGCATCAGCGACCTCGAAGAACTAAATCTCTTCCAAAAGCACCGCCGTGGAAGGACGCGGGACCCCACCCCACCTCAGCATTGAGGATTATTGACCTTCTCCTCCTCCTTGCGAGGATCCTCTGGTTCCATAATTATGTCCTGTGCGTCTACGAACAAACCTGATCATTTCAAGCTACCCCACATTTTCAGCTCGAGCAAGAAAAAATATGCAAAAGCTGAAATCTTTAGACACCAACGTTGCATTCCCCATATTGCAATTACTCTAAGTACACATTAGCACTATTAGAGGCTCTTGAGATTGTTAATTATCCCTGCGACATGCTGCGAACAGGTAAAGTGCGGGTCGTATACAAAGCGACAATATAGTTTGTCACCGTGTTGTCTAATGTCAAATCTTTTCAGTTGCCGCCATAAGATATAATTGAGATTTCGTGTACGATTCACCTTAAAGACCCACTTTCAATTGTATTGTATAATGTACCATCTTTCAAATCAGACCGCATTCTACGCATTACAGTATTGTGAGTCCGCACGTGTAGTTACCAATAAATAAAAGTTGATGATCGTAATATGGCGGCATCATATTCAGAGAGCCTCTTACAACACCCACGAGATGAGATGGTATCTTTTAGGCTGACACTAGACAACCGAAAGCTCATCACCAATAACCAAAAAAAAAGTGGCCGGTATCCATCATACAACGCAAGATATTTGACAGATGCCTGAATCTCGCTTACGACATTTAAAAGATAAGTTGCATATATACAAGTTCCGAACAACAACAGTCATTTCGGATCTCGTCGAACCCGTCGCTTGCGACGAAGGGCTGAAGGTCTCCACGAGTAAATTAACCCACAGACACAGCCCACTGAGTTTCTCGCCGGGTCTTCTCAGTGGGTTGCGTTTCCGATCCCGGTGGTAGATTCTGCGAAGCATGGCTCTTACTAGGGTTCGTGTTACTAGAATAGGTAGGAAAAAAAAAGAAAACATTCGGACCGTCTCTACCCAGCAATATCACAAGCTCGGTGGAAGATATTCCCTTTGTCGTATATCTACAACTATTTAAATATTTGTTAGTTGAGTGTTTAGCAAGAGCCTAAACCATCCGTAGCGGTTTGATTGTGTGGAGCCCCGGGGAGCGGTGTCGACAGTAACCGCTGGTAATGCGCGGCTCTACAGAACTTAGCCAGACTGCACGTCTCTCCGCTACTAATGCCATTGCCCAGTGAATAAATACATATTTATTATATACATTTAAAAGGAATCTTTGCTCCCGAAAACAATTTAATTGAGATCTTTTTCGACATTGTATGCAAACGGGCATACGGCCCATCTGATGGTGAGTGGGAACTGTCGCTAATAGACATCAGCAATGCCAGCCAAGACACTGCCTGCCAAAACTCGGTTGAAACAGGACTTCATGTTAGCTTGAGTTGCGTATCTCAAGAGTGGCATTTACGTGGTGATTTTATGACCCCTTAGTGCCAGATAAACCACGAGCATAAAGGTTATCTGCGAACATAAAAACAGCCAACAACTCAATCGTCCAATTCACCCTCCGACATACATCATTTCTATAAAGGTTATTCAATAACAGATAAATCAGTCGGCAAACAGTTCGGCTTCGGAGTCAAATTGAAAACGTAAAAAGCTATAAACGTCTTCAAGTCGAGCTTACGTCGTAAATAGAAAGCTCTGGGCTTACTTGTTATTCGTTTTTTGGAATTGAGTGTCATTGGCGGTGTCTGCATTGTAGGCATTTTCGTATTTTCATGTCATAAATTTTGGTGAAACAAACTGTTCACAGAAAATCTTTGTCTGAATCGAGAGATAAATTCAAATCGAATTATTGAAGATAAGATTCGAATTTCTTTCTTGAAGTTTTTGTTTATTAAAACACTGCCCGTGTGGGCAAGTTGGAGTATTTGATTTTTTTTTTTCACTTTCATTGCGCTAACTTTATGAACAGTAATCATAACTCTGTAGTCTTAACATCGACCTAAAAATTCCACCTGTATTAACAAAAATCTTTGGCCTTAATAAAAAATCAGTAATCATTTCTCGGCAACATTAATATGTTACGTTTCGTGCCCAAACAGGAAACAACATCGAAACCTACACTTAAAAACGCTTACCCATTAGCTTACTTGTTACCAACATAAAACTTTTAAAAATAAAAACATTACGTTTATGTCCCGATCGCGTTACCTCACATGTAAATAAAAGCGGCAGTGTACTAATTCTGCCTACCCCTCGACGTATTTATGTTAGGATAATGTTACCTGAGAAGCCGCTGTGTGTCGTGGACGCTAACATTTATATGTTCGTGATGAGCTGAGCGAGCGAGGAAGCGTCTCCAAGTTGACATTTATAAACAACTAGGTGTACCCGTTCGCTTCGCCGGGCATTTAAAATTAACATTATTATTTCTCACCCCCACAAAGATTCTCATCATTAACGCCCCCGCAACTGGTGTAGGGAGTCCAACGCTCATATTAATATTAGCCTATCCATTAAGTACATGTATTTTCTACATGGATACCAAGTTTCAAGTCAATCGGATTTATGGTTTAGTAGTTATAACGGAACATCCGTAAAAATCGCTGTACATTTATATATTAGTATAGGTTACAAAATACTGGTGGTAGGGCCTCTTGTGAGTCCGCACGGGTAGGTACCACCATCCTGCCTATTTCTGCCGTGAAGCAGTAATGCGTTTCGGTTTAAAGGGTGAAGCAGCCGTTGCACTGTTAAAAGTGAGACCTTAGAACTCAAGCATGGGTGGCGGAATTTATGTTGTAGATGGTAGCAATTTGCAATTTGCAACATGAAGAGCCCGTGAGCCCGATACTCGTGTCTTAAGCAGGCAGGTACATAAATATTATAACTTTTATGTCTAGTTTTCGAAATTAATTAAAAAGGCCTTAATTAATTAATATTTGATAGATCCAGACAGGGCGATTTACAAGATGACTTTAATGTATGATCTTTCGTGTTTATCTATATATCAATACGTGAAGCAAAAACTTTGTATCCCTTTTTACGGAAATTGCGCGGACGGAGGAGTATGAAATTTTCCACACTTATAGCGAATATAGAGAAGAAGTGCACAATGCTAATATTTTTTTTAAATAATGCATAAAAGATACATTAAATCAATAAAGAAAACATTACACACACTACATACCATGTATTTGACGCACACACGCATGCATACTATTTATTGTCAAACTTTTGTTCTTGACGTCTGTTGTCAAATTGAGAATAGATTAAATATTGTTTGTCTTTGTTAATATTTTTATAGTGTAGTCTTTGCGAAATTTGTGATTATATAAGTATAAAATACAATCATAACAGTGTAAAAACTTAAAATTCCAATTAATTATAGTCGAATTTCGACTACTGCGGGACCTCTAGTAAACTTAACTATGTAATTTTTCTCTCTCTCCGCTGTAATGAAACCCCAGCTTTATATTATTGTGTTAGCGGAGAATCGAGAGGGTTACTCTTATAATTTCTTTTGTTAAGGAATATCACGAACTAACATTGTATGTGTGAGTGAGTTACTTTAGCTTACTGTATTATACTTATCCAGGCTGTATTGCACTATCTCTGGTCGGTACAAAGTGATAACTCCATTTTAGTAAATTAATATAATATTTTTTTATTACTTAGATGGGTGGACCAGCTCACAGCCCACTTGGTGTTAAGTGGTTACTGGAGCCCATAGACATCCACAACGTAAATGCGCCACCCACCTTGAGATAAATTCTAAGGTCTCAGTATATGCATTACTGCTTCACGGTAGAAATAGGCAGGATGGTGGTGCCTACCCTACCACCAAGCCGTGCGGAATCACAAGAGGTCTTATCACCCTTATTTAGATACTCCTCAAAGGGGTAAGACATACTTAATATCTCAAAAGTAATCTCATCACACCCCGTTAAATGCGTATATATATTTCTTACATTTAAAATTGAGTACTTTCTGTGGTTTACACGAGTCATAATTAAGACTACTTTAAGGTTAAATATCGCGTCTTTTACTAACTTTAACTCTTTAACTAAAGAGATTTGTCCTAAAGAAATTGGTCCGGAGGCTGTTTTAGGATTCATAATTTTATTAAATCATCTTAGCAAATTCCTCGCAAAGCTTAATGGTAAGGGAAATCTTTAATAACTATTTTATGTGTGCCCTTTTTCTGAGAAGGCGTGAAGTCGTAACGATCCCTCCGGTCATACGAAACAGCGCCATTAACTTCTCATTGTTTCATTTTAATTGCGATCTGAATGCGTCAAATCATTGGCTGCGGTGCAAATAATAAGCGTAGACATTTTTTCATAAAAAGTAGAATAATAATAATTATTATTATTATTAAATTTATTTATTTTAGATATAATTATTAATCCATATTATGTATTGTTAGTAACAGTGACTTCTTAAAAATATGTTAGTATAACACAATTAGAATAGTTTACAATTTCGAGCAATTGATGGACCTTTCTACAATGATTGAGAAAAGCTCCCTCTAATCTCGAGAACACCATGGCCAGGATGCTGTTGGCGCTAGACCCTACCCTGTGATTATGAAGAAAGTCCAAACGATAATTTTTATAATTTTAATAAGGACTATGGTGATAAAGTGAAAGTTTGTTTGTTTGGATGGTTGTTGCTAGTTCGAGTAGAAATGATTTAAAGGATTTGGATTAAATTTCGCAATATAAAATTATAATTTTAACGAATACATTATTTTAGTTTTATCACGGTAAATGACATGATCGAGCCAACATCGGATGTACATACATACGACAATGCATTGGCAGGTTCATTATTTTACATATCGTCTTGATTAAAATAAAATGTTGGATATTCGAAGACTTGGCATATGTCTCCTGTATGATGTGCCAGAAACCCATACGAGACAAGAGCATAAACACCCAGACTCCGAAGACCCAAACATTTTAAATAGTAATACAATTTCCTACCGAGAATCAAATCCGGACCCCAAGACGAGGTACTAATTTAGTGGAGATCATTAACCACTTGGAAAATGAGGTAGCGATTGATATGATGCATGAGTATTCTACTTCTTCGCACGATTTTACAACGGCACAACAACAAACAGTGATCACTTAAGCTTCTAAATTAGACCACACAGAAATTACATTCAATGAACGGTCAAACGCATGTTCCGATAGAAATGAATTATACAAGTTCTCAATGACATCCACACTCAGTGTTTTCAATTTATAAAAACATGATTAAAATTTAATCAAACCTTTGTAGTCACAATATTGTATGCGATACTATGACATGCAAACCCTAACTTGAAAGTGGATATAAATTAAATTATCCCGGAGGACTTTCACGTGAAGCTGTAGCATATTGTAATAAAAATTAAACCAGTATTTTTTTAAGCCCATTATGCTCTATGATAACGCGAGAACTCATACCGCACGAGACACCGTTTTAACTCTACAGTAACTGCAATTAGAAATCATTCGTCACCTTCCCTGTTCGCTAGACCTTGCTCCAACCGACCGACTACCATTTTTTTCGTGATTTAGACAATTTTCTATGTGATCAAAAGTTTTTACAAAATGCAAAAAGGCAGTACAAAATGCTTTTACACAGTATGTAGAATCTAGATCACCAGAGTTTTATCGCAAAGGCATAAATGACCTTCCTATTAGATGGCAGCAATGCAGGTATAGATAATAATAGTAGATATTTTGATTAAATAAATATGTAAAATGAAAAAAAAAAAAATTCAATTTTTCAGTACAAATCGGCAATTTCATACTTTAATGCCTAATATATTAAAAACGTACATATAAACATAGTGATGACGATCTAGAACACAGTCCGTTGTCTGGCCGGGTGGCCAAAAATCGCCAAGTCACGCTGTTATTCGCTGCGCGCCTTCATTAAAATATGATTTCAAAACAAATTACTTTGTATTGTCCACAGGAATCAGAAGCCCGCACTTCGTTTACGGAGTAAAAATAAAAATAGTTTCATCGCAACGGTTTTATTTGTGAAATAATAATGTTCATAGTGTGGCGATGTATTCCGCAAATACAACAATTTCAACAAAAAAGTATTGGGTCGTATTTTTTTTCCAATAAGCTTTCAGGGATTATTGAAGCCAGATACCATGCATCTCTAGATGACACGATATTACCTCAACGTCATGATAAGTCCTTCGTCAAACAAAAACCAAAACAACACAACAAAAGTTAAAATTGCAACTAAATCATCACAACCTACACACACAAAAGAAACATCATCTTTCTGCGCCTAATAAAACAGTGAAATACTTAACTCTAAATGGTTTAATTCCCACTGAAACCAAGATGATTCCGACTAACCCTCCAAACGCGAAGGGAGAATAATCCTTGAAAAATATCTATCATATTTTATGTTCACGTTCGGTTGGTTGGTAGGGCGGAAAGAGTATTATGTTTATACGGGCTACACAGACTCACGAAAAAGCGTATTTAATTTAATCAAATCCATGTCGAAAGATAAATTTCTTAGCTTTTGTAAATGGAAAACGCGTGTTGAGTCCTTCATATGAGAGCAACGCGAAACAGCGTTAGGCATTTCTTCCCTAGGTACAATCCTTCTGTTGCATGTCTACACTCATCTCCTTCCTTTTTAGATCAAATCTTAGATTAGATCTGTAGAGTAGTGTCACTTTGGATACTGGTTCTGGAAGGTTCTAGTACAGGAATACTGCAAAACTGAAACTGGTTCTAGTAAGAAGTTCAAAATAGCTCATGGTTCTTTTATATATTGTAGTGAGACTATTGATACATACTTTAAACTCTTATATGAATTGATATTTTTTTTTTATGCTTAGATAAGTGGACGAGCTCACAGCCCACCTGGTGTTAAGTGGTAACTGGAGCCCATAGAAATCTACAACGTAAATGCGCCACGCACCTTGAGATATAAGTTCTAAGGTCTCAGTACAGTTACAACGGCTGCCCCGCCCTTCAAACCGAAATGCATTACTGCTTCACGGCTGAAATAGGCAGGGAGATGGTACCTACCCGTGCGGACTCACAAGAGGTCCTACCACCAGTATAAATAGAAAGATGTGCTTATAAAGATACAGACGATAATAAAGTACATCGATTTATAAGTGATTGTCGAAGCTTATAAATATTTCAACGTGAATTTCAAACTAATTATGAGATATGAACATATGAATTATGAGATGAAAATAAATGCTTTAGGACTGTCACTCCTTCGAAGCCTTAACGCATAGCTTTGCCTCAGAAATAAGCAGGGCAGTAGTAATTGTCCGAGCGTGCTTACAATGCATAATACAAAATTACTTAAACATACTTGTATATATTTTTTACTGCACTAATTTATTCCTTCATCTTGGAAATCTTTCGTAAACACAACGCGACCTCTTGTCACAAGTTCGGTGGCACTTATCGTGATATGTGTACTGTCTCTGGTAATATTATACAACTAAGCCCACAGACAAAATCTACCGAGTTTCTCACCGGATCTACTAAGTGTCGCGATTCTATTTCGGTAGATTCAACGACGCACTGCTCTTCATGGAGTAGATATCAACAAGGTCTCTCGTGAGCTGTAAGCTGACCTACCAGTTAGTTTGAAGCCGGAATAACCCATTGAGGCTACGGGGCATTAGGTAAGGAAAAAGTCACTGGTAACGACATAAAACCATATGGACAGCGAATTTATTGTTTTGAATTTAGATATGTTTGGGACTGAGAAAAGGATAAGGTTTAGGACTCACTCTGTATTTCGTTGATGCACTATTCAATTTTCTCACTGACGAGAGTTCTATGTGCTGATTGATCAACAAATCACAATTTTATTGTTTTTGCACCGGCACCATGTTTTAGTTTTTTTTACACACTTCGCGCCATTTTCATACGCGCGTAGTTTTTCTTGTAGTGTCAACAGATGGCGTGGATAGGGGATTGAGGAAGGAATAAGGAAAAGGAAGTTCAACATTTCCTCCCACTTGAAATCATTGGAGGATTTTAAAAGATTTTAATAAGATAATAAGATGTGGTAACTAAGGTACCTAGTGAATTAGAGATAATAATATGCTAAGAATAAAGTAATAATTAAGATAAAAAAAATAATTATGTGAATAAATAAACTATTATAAGTACTATTAAATTGGATAATAGTATAAAGTAAATTATAAAGGTTAAAAGTTTTCGTGAATTGGCAAAGGACATAACTGGTCGGCGCAGCAGACCGTTAGCTGTTTGGACAGTGACAACCCGTACTACGCCATCAGACCCGGGATGAATTATGCTAATTCTGCCGATACGCCATTCCAACGGTGGAAGGTTTTGATCCACGATCATAACTATATGTCCCAGCTTAACGTTACCGTGGTGTTTAAACCATTTAGCGCATTGCTGTAATGTATGAAGATAATCCAAATGCCAGACACGCCAAAAACTTTGAGTTAGCTTTTGTAGCATCTGCCATCTAGAACGAACTGACATTTGTATATCAGCAAGGAGAGGCTCGGGTAAGCTCACTAGAGGACTCCCTGTCAAGAAATGCGCAGGTGTCAATACGTCTACCTCGTTGGGGTCAGAAGATACCGAAATTAATGGTCGTGAATTGAGAATAGCTTCGATTTTGGTAAGAATTGTTGTTAGCTCTTCAAAGGTTAATATTTGACTTCCGATTACCCGTTTCAGGTGATACTTCATCGATTTTACCCCACTTTCAAATATACCTCCAAAATGACTTCCGGTTGGCGGGTTTAGTNCTACCTCGTTGGGGTCAGAAGATACCGAAATTAATGGTCGTGAATTGAGAATAGCTTCGATTTTGGTAAGAATTGTTGTTAGCTCTTCAAAGGTTAATATTTGACTTCCGATTACCCGTTTCAGGTGATACTTCATCGATTTTACCCCACTTTCAAATATACCTCCAAAATGACTTCCGGTTGGCGGGTTTAGTTTCCATTGGATTCCCCGGTTTATCAAAATAGACTCAACTTCAAGATTCTTACTTAGCATTAATTGATGCATCTCGCTAAGATAGCGTTTAGCACCCAAGAAATTCGAACCACAATCTGAAATAATAGTACTACATAAACCACGACGGGACACAAACCTATCTAAAGCACCAATAAAGGCCGAGGCGGAGAGCTCAGTTACCAATTCAATGTGAATTGCCTTAACTGCTAGACAGACAAATATACAGGCATAAGTTTTATATGTTTTGGCATTTCGTCTGCGACTTTCTTTCACGATAAAAGGTCCTGCAAAGTCGACACCTATATTTTGAAAGCAACGAGCTGCTTGAACTCGGATAGAGGGAAGATCACCCATTACAGGTTGAAGGGGTATAGGATTTACTTTGAAACAGGTGACGCATTTTGAAAGCCGCGATCTAATAAGATTACGAATACCTAGGATCCAAAATTTTCTTTGAATTAAAGATTGTAACGCACGAAGTCCACAGTGTAGAAATAAACGATGGTAATAGTCAATAATGATCACAGAAAGATGGGAGGTTTTTGGCAACAATAACGGATTTATAGCTGATTGTGGTAAGTTTGCATTTTTTAATCGTCCCTCCACTCGTAACAAACCCCGTTGATCGAGAATTGGCGCTAACTTTATTATAGTGCGAGAACAAGATTTTCCACATTTAATTGCACTAATTTCGCTAGCGAATGTAGGAGATGGAACATGTTTTACAATGGTAAAGAGAGAGTCTTCTAGTTCTGTAAAAGTTAAAAAAGATTTGATACGTTTTTCTGGCGGACGAGTTGCGTTTGCAATAAAACGTCGACACCAGGCAAAGATGCGTTGTAGCCTCAACAATGAAGAGTACTTCTCAATTAACTGAGTTAGAATACTATTGTTAGAAGATTCCAAAAGAACATGGCACAAGAAGCTGGATTTTACTTCGGCTAATTCCTTTAGATAAGGTAATTTTTCAGACACCGGCCATGTAGAAGAATTCGAGACTATCCATTTGGGTCCTGTCCACCAAGTGGAACAAGCCACAAGCTGAGAGCAGGTAAGACCACGACTGCAGTAATCTGCTGGATTATCATACGTTGGCACATGATACATGCAACGAAAGTTTTAAGACGATGAGGTGCTGTTTGCAGCCATGATAGTACAGTCGAGCTATCAATAAATGCCCATATCTTTGAAATTGTTATGTTTGAGGTTTGAGTTTCATTTATTAAATTACTAATATGCTTCAATATTTTTGCTAGCAATACAGCACTACATAGCTCCAATCGGTTGACAGTAAGAACTTTTAATGGAGCTACTTTAGGTTTTGCAATAAGCAGGTGAGATGTAATTTCAGTGTCGGTAGTGATACGTAAGTACACAGAACAACCATAAGCCTTGGTAGATCCATCACAAAAACCTACAAGTTCGTATGATTTTGAATGAAGAAGTACAATTAGTCGAGGAATTTTAATATCCTTCATATAGTTAAACTCGGATGTAAATAGATGCCACTGAGATAACATATCTGACGGTGCAGGTTCATCCCAGTCAAGCTGAAGACGCCATAGTTCTTGTAAGGTAAGCTTAGCTATTAGAACCATTGGAGCCAACCATCCAAGTGGATCATAAATTCTGGCGACGTTTCATAGAATAGCACGTTTTGTATTCCCTGGAGCGAGTTCTGATAAAGCATAAGTGAAGTTATCATCAGCTGGATCCCATTGAACTCCAAGAATCTTGATACTTTGTTTTTGTTTTTCATCACAAAATGTTTTTGGAACTTGACAATGTTCCGTTGGTATCTGAGTGAGAAATTCGGGTGAGTTGCTACTCCATTTACGTAATTCGAATTTAGCACGCGCTAACATTTGTATTAACTCTTCTTTATGTCTCAGTGCTGTTTCAATAGATGTAGCACTAACGGTGATGTTATGCATGAAAGTATCATGACAAAGACTAGCAGCAGCTAAGGGCCACTCTTTTTCGTAGTCAGAGGCTAATTGATGCAGAGTACGTATTGCCAGATAAGGGGAACTCGTAACCCCGTAGGTTACCGTTTTCAGCTCATACTCAGTTACAGGATCAGAAGGAGAATCGCGCCAAAGTATATGCTGCCATTTTCGGTCTTCTGGCCTGAGTTCGATGTTTCGA